GAACTCCGCCCCGGACACCACCAGCTCTGCTTCTCCCCGGCGTGGCACCCTGCGTCCTCTCACGCTGCAGGCCAGGCCTGGGGGGGACACAGACCCAGTTTCCATTTCCTCTCTGCCACTCTGGTGCCATCTGGAGTCGAAGCTAGGATCCCAGACTCTCCAAGCCTGCGACTCCTCCATGTCAAATGAGGATGTCACCCCATACCACACAGGATTGGCGAGAGGATAGCTGCTGGGATGGAGTAAATGTCACGAATGGTCACAGTGATCCTGACCCATCGTGGTGCCTGCCTCTGAGCCCTGAGAGGGATAAGCGATGCTCTTTTACCACTGGCATTTGAACCCTGCTGCCCTCCAGCCCCATGAACTCCGCCCCGGACACCACCAGCTCTGCTTCTCCCCGGCGTGGCACCCTGCGTCCTCTCACGCTGCAGGCCAGGCCTGGGGGGGACACAGACCCAGTTTCCATTTCCTCTCTGCCACTCTGGTGCCATCTGGAGTCGAAGCTAGGATCCCAGACTCTCCAAGCCTGCGACTCCTCCATGTCAAATGAGGATGTCACCCCATACCACACAGGATTGGCGAGAGGATAGCTGCTGGGATGGAGTAAATGTCACGAATGGTCACAGTGATCCTGACCCATCGTGATGGGGGCAGCTGAGTCACAGAGTTTGGGATTGGAGAGCCAGTCCCTCAGGCCAGGCCAGCCTCACTCCCTGCCTGCTGTCTCTCATGGTTGCCTCCCTCCTCCCTCTACCCCATTCCCTGCTCCCCCTTCCTCTGCCTGCCTGGGAAACTCCCCGAGAAAGTCCCCAGCAGGAGAAGTCCTCATGTGGAGTATTTCCACCCGGGTCTCTCACCTGCCACCCAACCCCACCCCATAGCCACCCCACACAGACCAGGCTTCCCGGCCCTCAGCCCCCAACCATCCAGCAAGCTGACCCTCATCATCACACTGGCTTTATTGGCCGAGAGCCACAGAGGACACCTCACGGGGGCTCTGCTTCCCCTCCCCCCAAGTCTGTCCGGAGGTCCTGGGGGCGGGTTGAGTGTTCACACTCCAATCTTGGCTTCCTGTCGCAGTTGTCCTTGCCTTGCCAGCCCTGGGTCCTTTGAGAGCTCCCCGATCCTACAGCCAGGCTCAGCCCGGAGGGCGGAGTGGCAGGGACTGCCCAAGGCCAGGCCGGCTTCACTCAAAGAAGAACATTCCTGGTGTCCGGTACAGGCAGGGGGTCAGCCCCAACGGGAAGCCAGAGCCGCCCTGGACAGGGAAGCTGCCTGCAGCCCAGGGCTCCTTGGGATCGGCTGTCAGGGGCAGTGGGGCCCGCAGTGAAGCTGGAGGGGTGGGAGGCGCCGGGGAGGGCGCTGCTGAGGCCAAGAGGTGGTCCAGGCCGGGGTCGGTGCCCATGCAGAAATTCAGGGCCTGCAGCCGGCACTGGTAACTGCTCCCAAGGCCCACCTCGGGGGTCAGGATGGGCGTAGGGGCCTTGCTGAAACCCTCAGCCTCCGAGAAGCTGGCAGGAAAGCCAAAGGCCGGGCACGAGGAAGACGAGGTGCCCATGGGGAGCTCCCCTGAGCCTGCAGGCTTGGGTGTGGGCAGCTCTTTGGGCTCCGCAGATGGCCGGGGCCTGACATCGGTGGTGGCCGGGCACATGCTGGCTGGCAAGGTCCCCACCAGTCCCCCAAAGGTTAGGCTTTTGGGCTCTGGCAGCTCTGGCAGGAACGGGCACTGCCTGCCCGTCGTGGTATCGGGGACTCCGGGGTCCTCCTGGCTGGTGGCTCTGAGGGGTCCTCGGCGTGCCTTGGCCGGGCCCGTGGTGCCCTCGGCACCTGCTCGCCGGGTGAAGCGTCGGCGTCGGCGCAGGAAGCTGCCGTGCTCGAACATGTCGTGACAGTCGGGGTCCAGGGTCCAGTAGCTGCCCTTGCCTGGCTTGCGGTCGTCACGGGGCACCTTGACAAAGCACTCGTTGAGTGACAGGTTGTGGCGAATGCTGTTCTGCCAGCCGGGCCGGTTGTGGCGGTAGAAGGCGAAGCGGCCCATGATGTAGCGATAGATGCCGCTGAGCGTGGCCCGCTGCCCCGGGGAGCTCTGGATGGCCATGGCGATCAGGGCTATGTAGCTGTAGGGGGGCTTAGTGGGCTCGGCTGCAGGGGCCAGGGGCCCGGGTGGGGGCTGCTGTTGCATGCTGGCTGGGCTGGCCGGGCTGGCGGCTGCCAGGACCACGGGAGCCAGGCACTGCGTCCAGGGCTGGTGTCCGGCACAGCCCGCCCAGGCTGGTTAAAAGGCCCGCTGGCCCAGCCTCCCAGCCTGGAAAGGCAAAAAGGGGTGGGCCCGCCAGGCTGCCCTCCCTTCTTCCCTTACCCCCTCCTCCAAGGCCCAAGAGGGGCGGGCAGGAGAGGCCTGGATTGGGAAGTTTTGAGCAGCTGCCAGGGGTAAGAAGTTGGGAAGGAAGGGACTGAGTGAGACCCTCAGCCCACATGTGCTGTGTGGTGGTGGCTGGGGGGGAACAGGGGGGTATGATGTGAAACAGAGGGAGACAGAGACAGAAATAAAGAGAGATAGAGGCAGAGATGTAAAGAGACAGAGATAGTGGGGGGGAAAGAGACAGAGACAGACAAAGAGAGGTAGAGATATAGCAAGAGACAGAAACACACACACAGAGAGATAGAGGCAGAGACATAAAGAGACAAAGATAAGACAGAAAATACACACACGTGCACACATACACGCACGTAGTATACAGAAAAAGAATCACTGAAATAGAGAAATAAACCTACAGAGATAGAGAGAAAAATGAGGATACAGAGAGAGACACACACAAGACACAAGAGAGGGCGGGGTAGAGAGACAGTCATCCCTGATGAGAGAGGGGAGAAGTTAGAACCTAAGTGCTGAGCTAGGGAAAAGCCACCAGGGCTTCTCCAGTCCCCCCCTCCAGTTCCCCTTTCCTCCTCTCCTCCTCCCAGGCCGTGGTCTTCTCCCTACTCCCCACAATGCAGAGCCCTTGAGGCCACACTGTTTATTCCCTAATCTCCTCTCAGTAGGGTGGATGTGGATGTGGGGTGGGGCACCTGGGATGGTGACGAGAGCCAGCCAAACCCCGTCGGCTGAGCCCTGGCGCCCTCTAGTGGTGTAGGGAGGACAGACATTTGGGCAGAGATATGCCCTCTCCCATGAGGTGTCTCAAGCAAGTCCCTGACCCTGGCTGAGCCTGTTTCCCATCTCTAAAGGGGAGCTGGTGACTCTTCATCTGTTCGAGCTGTGGTGAGGAGGCAACAGGCTCCCTTACATAGTATCCAGCACCCTCTGCGAGCCTAGCACAGAGTAGGACATGGTTGAGGGCTGTCACTCTGAACTGAGCTCCCCGCCAGCTGCAGCCTTGGGCCAGGGGTACAAAAAAAGCCCAGCACAGACACTCAGGCCTTCTGGAAGATGGGGCAGCCTCCTCCATGTTCTCTGAACCACAAGTAACCAAGTCAGAGGGCACCTACTGTGTGCCACTTTCCATGCCAGGTCCATTCACCTCCCTTCTCCACATTTACTTCTCAGACCAACCCTGCTCCAGAGGCCTTCAGAGCTGCTTTTGGATAGATGAGGGCTCTGAGGCTTAGAGAAGTGCAGTGACTTGGTTAAGGTCACACAGCTAGTGAATGAGAAGGCTAGGATTTCAACCTCGGTCCTAGGATTCTGTAACTCCTTAACATCACCTCCCCTGTGAGGGGCAGGGATAGAGAAGTCCCCGGGGCTCCACTGGAAAACAGGCTGTGAACCCCAATAGAGTAGGGACCATGCTGTTTTGCTCTATCCCAGTGTCCAGCATTGGCCTGGAACAGGTGTTCAACCAACATTTGTTGAATGAATTTAAAAAACAGTGATCTGATTGACTTCTGTCCTTTGTTGAATCATAGTCCCCCCCCCCCATAAAAGTGACTTTAAAAAATTTTTTTTATTTGTTTCAGAGAGGAAGGGAGGGGGGAGGGAGGAGGGAGGGAGAGAGAGAGAGAGAAACATCAATGATGAGAGAGAATCATTGATTGGCTGCTTCCTGCACACCCCACACTGGGGATGGAGTCCACAACCTGAGCATGTGCCTTGACCAGGAATCAAACTGTGACCTCCTGGTTCATAGGTCTACACTCAACCACTGAGCCATGCCATCCGGGCAACATGTGACTTATTAATGTATCACCGAAAGAGATTTATTATGACGCCATCTGTAAAAGCAGCCCTAACAAGTCAGAAATCAGAAAAGGGGCAGAAAACAGTGACTTACTGACAAAGCAGGGTCAGCTGCCCTCATGGTGGAGGGGCTCCCTCCCAATCTCAGGAATTTCCTACAACTTACAGTTTGTAGAGTTTGCAGGGGCTCGGGGAGGGGCTGGACTCCTCCTAGTTCCCACTTTGGCTTCTGCCTCAGGGCTCTGCTTGGGGGCCTGACTCAGTTTCTCCGAAGAAAGTGTCTCCTAGAGCTGGTGGTTTAGTGGTTAGCATCCAAAGTCCCAGGGTCAGGCCAAGTCCTCTGTTCTGGGACCCCCTCCCCTCACCCCAGACCCAGGTAGGAGGAAGAGTCTGGAAACTCAGAGCCCCTCAGAGGTAAACGCAGCTTTAAGCAAAGCTTGTCATGGATCCATCGCAGGTAAGGTCTGCTTTAGATGAACTGTTATAGGCATGTTGGGCTCTCCACAAAGAAACAAAGTCTTATTTTTTCTGCTCTAATTGCTGTTTCTGGAATCTCAAGGTCCAGTTCGGTTTCCGCCTGACACCCCGGGCCCAGCTGTGAGGCCATCCACCTACACACTGCGCTCCAGGGCTGCATCTCCGCAGCTCAGAGGTTGAAGCCCATGCTCGGTGGGGGTTGGGGGGAGGCCCAAGTCCACTGGCTCAGTTTGGGCAGAGCTGGGGTGGGCTCTGCATCCTGTGGGGGGCTGACTTTAGAAGGTGTGAGGAAGAAGTGGCTGCTCAGGGCTGGCTCAGCTGTGTCATCAAGTGAGCGATGCCATCAGGGGTGTGGGGACTGGGGCCTCGCCACCGCCACCGGGGCACTGTGGTTGCGGTGCTTCGCGTACAGGAGGAGCTCTCGGGCAAAGACTGGCTCCACCTGCAGGGGTGGGAGGTGAGGCAATGAGCCGACTTTCTCCGTTACCCACCTTCTATGATCCCGTGGGAAGTCACAGCCCTAATGATGGCCCCTTCCCCACACACATTTTACATGCAGGGTCATATCGATCGGAGGGTCATAGAGCAGGTCAGGGGCAGAGCTGGGACTAGAGGGAGCAGTGGGGGGCTGTTAGGAGGGGACTGGAGGGTGTGGGGACTGGAGTGGGGAGGTGACTCACATGGGCCATGATGAGCCGCTCCTGGGGCTGGTCTGGGGGGCCCGGGTACTCCTCGCCAAAGCACAGACGGATCTGGTACTCGGGCTCTGGACGACCATCCTGCAGGTGGGCCCGCAGTTCTACGGGCACTGAGACTGTAGGGGCTGGGCCAAGATGGGACATCCCACCTGGTGCCCACCTTGTGCTCCTATCCCATGCCCATGTCCTATGAGCCCGCATCCCCATTGTGTACACCCATGCCCTATGCCCACTTCCACATCTATGCCTACATCCGTGCCCACTTCCAGTGCTCATGCCCCATGTCTTGTGCCCCGACGCTCACTGCTCTGCCTTTATGCCCATCCATGCCCATTGCCACTCACCTAGCCTATCTTGTGCCCAGTGCCCCTGTTGCCCACCCTATGCCTAGTGCCCTGCCCTATGACAACACGCCTCTGCGTATGCCCCACACCCAATGCCCCCAGCCTGTTCCTGCCTATATCACCCAGATGTTTACATCAATACCTGTGCCCAGCTCTCCCGATGGCCATATTTGTTCCCACTCCCGGTGCTTCTGTGCCATGTCCTTTGTTTCGGTGTCCACCCCAGGCCCAGCCTCCTGAAGCCCATGGCCCTGCTCCCACACCTCGTGTGCCCACTCTCCTCTGCCCACCTCCCTTTGCCCCCCCTTGTGTCCAGCCGCCCCACCCGCTCCACCTACCAGCGAGGAAGCGGCGCGTGTCCAGCAGCTGGCAGGTGCGC